GCAGGTAGAGCAGAGCATCAGCCGCGCCCCCCTGGGCGTGCACCGTCCGCCCCCCGCCCTGCGCGGCGCCGCCGCCTCATCCGCAGGCGTGAGGGCTCCGGCTGCATCGCCGCCGCCAGCGGAGGAGAGTCCCGGCACCGAGCGGGGCTGGGTGCGGCGGAGGGGTGACCCGGGGGGCGGTGGGACGAGCTCCTCCAGCATCGCGTGTCCGGGAGGGGGTTCTGGAGAAGACATTTTATATATTCTTTTTTTCCGGTTTCTGAACCTCTGTCCAGGCTCCTGTGGCAGCCTGGCGAGGTGGGGCTTGGTCCTCTTCTGGGGCTTCTTGTTTTTCCACTGAAATCTCCCCACCTTCCATTGGAGCGGAAATCGTTCCTTTTCTGTAAATACATTTTTTCATCCTTTTCACGAAACCCGATTTGCGGCAGCATCCATCTGCGGTGAAGCTTTGGAGCAACAGGGATCAGTGACCCTCATGATGTGGACCTTTCTGGGTATCGCCTCCTTCATTTACGTGTATAAAAAGTGTGGAGACCTCATGACTTACGCTAATAAGGAGGTGCTGCTCTCCGTGCTGGTGTTTTTCTCGCTCGGCTTGGTGCTGTCGTACAGGTACCACTTCAGGGGGCCCAGGCAGCGGCAGAAGCAGAAGTCACACCTGGGGATGCTCTCTGATGTGCTCTCAGCTTTGCCCCTGGTTGGCTTCTTCTGGGCCAAACCCACCCCGGGCTCTCAACAAGTTGAACAGCCCAAATCCAGAAAGGTAAGTTGAGACGTGGCACGTGGAATGCAAGATTCTGCTGCTTTTCCCTATGGCTAGGCCGTCTGCCCTGGTGAGGGAAAAGAGCTAAGAAAGGGTTGGACAGGGTTTGTATTTAGGTGCTGGATGTTTGATTTGTCATATTTTGTGTTATTTTTGGTTGGCAAAGGAAAAGTGGTAGACCAGGGGCTTTCTAGCATCAAAACAAGTGTGTTTTAAGAAAGATTTGGAGTAAAGGGTTATTATAGTAGCAGAAAAATATCTTCAGTTGCCAGTCTGTTGTAGAGATGGACTGTGAGGAAAGAGAGAAGGCTGTATGTAAATACCTGAAGGGAGGGTTCAAAGAAGGCTGCGCCAAGGTGTTTTCTGTCCATGCCTGGTGACAGAAGGAGAAGTGGTGAGCACAGAATGAAACAGAGGACGTTTGCTCTGAGCACAGGAAGCACTGTTTACTGTCAGGGTGACTGAGCAATGCAACATTTCCCAGAGAGTTGGAAGAGTCTCCATCCTTGAAGGTGTCCAAAAGAGGGCCCAGTCTGCTCTGAGCCTGCTTGAACAGGGGCTTTGGATCCCATGATGTCCAGAAACTCTTTCCAGCCACTGCCATTCTCTAACTCTCTGATGAGCTTACTAATATTTATGGATAAAACACTTTTTTTATACAACTGCAGATATTGTATACTCCTGGAGTTACTGGGAAATGGTTGCTGACCTATTGCTTGTACAATAGGTACAGGACTTGCTCAGATAGTCAGGTTGTTCCCTTGAGCCCTGCATGACCCTTGCTATGGGACAAGTGGAGAGCTGTAGGTGGTGTAGGAAGTGTCTGGAGCTTAGCTGGAGTCCTGCCATCCAAGACTATGAACTGGACATAGATATCTGGAACATCTGTGGTCAGCACTATTTGGCTACTTTCCTGTGTACTTCTGGGCGTTTTCACATGAGCACTGACTCCATGCACAGAATAACATGAAACTGGTTTTGGCTGCAAGTCAAAGGTTTTTTATTTTTGTTTTCCTCTTAAAGCCTGCACTTATCAATTTCTTTTGTTACCTGAATTCAGACAGTTAGTTTAGCATTCTTTTGCTGTATTGTAGATAAAAACATGACACTAGGCCACTAGAAACTATGGTGTCAGTGTGTTTCACTGATGCAGTCGTGTTTTTACCAATGTCAGCAATGTAGTGCTGAGGCATTTGTGAAAGACTGAATTGAACTCTGATCTACCAGCTGGAGAAATGATTTGCAGCTTTGCACTGGATTTGCCCTTAAAATTATTTTTCACTTCAAAGTGTATGTGATTAAGTGCTGTTGGGAAGGTTCTATAACAGAGCTGGTTTAAGATACCAGTTTCTGTATTAATTGATGTCCAGTCCAATATATGTAGATTCTTAACAGCTTTAAATGTAGATGAATGGTGATTTTGCTTACACTTTTAGATGTTAGATGAGTTTTCATTTCAGGTCCACTTCTAAGAAGCATTTCCCAGGCAGCTGCTTCTGCTGACACTTTTCCATTCTGAATATTACCATAAGTTGCTGTTTTGTTAGTTAGGTAGGTTCACTTAGAGTATAATTGAAAAGGAGTATGTTTTCAAGAGAAATAAATTTTCCAGAATATCTAATACTTTTTCCATTGTAAAGTGCTAAGGCCTCCATGCTGGAGTGGTTTACTGGCATGAAGATACTAGTCTTACTTTATGGGACAGCCTTTTTTTACTTCCTTTTATAGCAGCTTTCAGTCCCTCTGGCAGTTTTGTTTGTGGTTTGTCTTCAGGCAGTAGGGCAGGTTTAAGCCAGGGTTGTGATGTTGTTTGCAGTGGTGTTGGTTCTTTTCTCTGCTTGTTGTGCTTTTGTTGCCTTTTAGAGTATGACAGATTCAATTTTGGACAAAACTAAACTGCAAGATGCCTTCCAACTACCAATGCACCCTCAGTACCCTGGCTCAGAGTAGAGCTACTCCAAAGTCAGCCTTCTTGACAAAGTTATGGTACAGATCCATTGGCATGTGTAACTTTGTTGCCTTTGTTTTCTAAAGGGTAAAAGAGAAGTGAACTTCTCAGATGTGTATCTGACAGAGACCACTCCAAATTCTACATTGTCACCCCAATATGATCCAGAAATTATCATTGTGGGATCAGGTGTCCTTGGTTCTTCCTTGGCCACGGTGCTTTCAAGAGATGGAAGGAAGGTGACTGTAATAGAGAGGGATCTGAAAGAACCTGACAGGATAGTTGGAGAACTGCTGCAGCCTGGAGGATTTAATGCTCTTCGAGACTTGGGTCTTGAAGGTGGGTGCATTTCAAGATGTAAATAGATCTGTAACACAAGAGTTACTACACTAAGCAATGTATTTAGTAAAAGCATGCCTACAGGAAAAATTCAGAAATATATTATCTGCATTTAACATTTGAGTTAAAATTGCTTGTGTATTTCCAGTTTGCTATTTTGAAAATACTCTTCTTTCAACATGTATATTTTACTTATGAAAATTGGACCCTAATAAAGAAATGCCTGTAATAAATAATTAAGCTTTTTAAAGACTTGTTTTGACTCATTTCTTTGCTTATGTCTTGCAGATTCGGTAGAAGGTATTGATTCACAAATAGTAAATGGTTACATAATTCATGACCTAGAGACCAAGTTGGAGGTTGAGATTCCTTATCCAACATCTGAAGATGGACATGTGGCCAGTGGAAGATCTTTTCATCATGGCCA